GGGTGAACGAAAAAATATTGGTACAAAAGCGGGAAAAATAAAACAGTCAACTTCGAGGAGTAACAATTTTCTGTTTGTTTGTTTACTGCACGTCATTTTGAGGTTTTTTGTTTTTATTTTTGGGATTGCAAACAGGAGAGGATACGTTCGCGCCACTGACTTCGGTTCGATGCCTTATCCCGCAGTGTCTCCAGCCGAAAATCTTTGACGCCCCAGCCGGGGAGCCGAGAAACCCTAACGGAAACCAAATCCGAGCTCAATCACTTTAACCCTCTGCACCACGTCATAGCCTGCCCACCTCGCTGTTTCTTCCAGTCTGCACCGATGTCGGCCAATAGTGCACGATGTGGNCTTCTTGGATAGCCTATAACTTTTTTACGCTGGTCCTCTTTTACAGCTAAGCTTGCTTCTCGTGCTGCGCGAAAGGTTGATTTTTTAAATTTCGCGCCAGGCGTTTTTTAACCCTACCTCATCTTCTCCTACTGTACAGAGCTCAGAGCCGCCCTGCTCTTCAATACTGTAGTCACGTGTCGGGTGGGGCTTCCTCTTCTTCTCTTTCTCCTCTCGATCATTTTCAGTGAAAGGTCAACAGGCCAATCGATGATCCTTCCCTAACATCCAGTCTGCAGTCACTAGCCCATCATCGGGCAGTTCCTTCATTGTCTCTGCTCTACCGTTATTACTTTGGATTTGTCCTTCGGAACGTGCCTCCGCAGTTCCTCTCTCGGTAACTTTTACCCACCCATCTCGTACACAGGCATATAGTCATCCTTATCAGGTTTCTGTTCCCAGATGTCGAACCTCTGTACTCCAATCTATTTCCCCCGAGTTAACAAGTTGTGGAACACCCTCCCACTCTCCAACTTACAACCTTACACTCTTTAAAAAGGGTGGTGGTGGCGTAGTGGTTTAATCGCTTTGGACCCTATGGTCCGAGGTTTGAGCCCCGCCACCGCCAACCGACTTTAGTGGTAGGCAGCTTTGCTGTCGTCCGGTTCAATATCACGCTTAACCTATCGGGGCCTTATGTGGTTCACTACTCAAAGTCCCGGGGCTTAGGTTGCCGATTTTAATCACTGAACAGCAGATCCTCGTGACTATTGGGTTGACCCCGTTTGCTAGTCATTACACGAAACTGTGTAATAGAAAACGCATATTCAATAAACTGGATATTACGTGAATGTTCCCCTACTCTCTCTTTTGAAGTATCAGTTCAGTTCAGTTTTTATAGCCATAAACCATGCACTTTCATGCGCCAGTTTTGGTTGTTGTCTTAGGGCAAATTCAGGCGAAAGATAGCGAACTTATATAGACTGCACTTACAAGAATAATGAGTACATGCATGAACTCCACTGTTTGCGACATCCAGCCATATCGCTCAGTGTCCCCCAGCAACAGTGACCATCATCTCCGGGTCGCCAGCCAGAAAGCCTAACGGGACCTATGTGACCCAGTCTCCTGGTCAGGATTTTCATATCCTCATGCCAAATCTTAGCTTGACCACTCTTGATTTTTCTCTACCTGGTACCTATCTCAGCGAACATCACTCGCCGTGGCAACCTATCTCGTGACATGCGTAACACATGCCCCAACCAGCGTATTCTATGAAGGTCGATCACTTGCTCCACTGGAAGACCGCGGTTACCTAAAACTTCACGCCGAACCTCAGCATTGTTCACGCGGCTGCCCCACCAGATTTATGCAATACCGTGTAGACAGCGGTGTTCAAACATCGACAGTCCATCTTTATCTTGTTTCCTTAATGGCCAAGTTTCTTCCCCGCATAGCACAAATGGCCGAACTGCCGCGGCACATACTCGACCCTTCACAGACAGCCGGATGTCGTGACGGCGCCACAGATGTCTCAAGTTGACAAATGCCAAACGAGCCTTCTGTATACGAGCAGACGCTTGGTCCATGATGCGTCTACCGGGTGAGATGTAGCTGTCCAAATGATAAAACTCATCTACCTGCTCTATTACTTCCCCAGTGAGAGTGAGGCTGGGTGCTGGGCCAGCCCAGTCTTGTAGTAGTATTTTACACTTTGAATGTGCAAAACGCATACCGAACATGGCTACGCTGGCACTCAAGCTATCCAGAAAGGCTTGCAGCTTACTTCGATCTTCGCTTAGCAGTACAATATCGCCTGCTTACTCCACGTCAGACTGTCTGTCATCTTGGAAAAAATCGATACCGATATCCTCGCAAGAGTATGGGGTTGTTTCAATAATTAAATCTATGAAAAAATTACATAGAAACGGAGAGAGAAAGGGCAAGCCTGCCGAACACCACTTTCTATGGGGAAGTAGGGCGAAAAAGTGCTGTAAGCTCGAACTCGACTTCGGCTATTAGTATAAAGGGATTGTACAATTGAAATAAACTTCTGGGACGCACCCTCTAGAGCAACGACAAATTGCGGTTCCGATACACGAAAAGACGCTTTCTACGATGAACTCACCGATCTCATTCGAACGAGTCGAAGCGCCGAAAAAGTTATACTTGCCGGTGACTTCAACGCTCAGGTTGGAGAACTGAGTGCATCAGAAGCTTGCCTAGGTGGTAGTTGTGCTCTCCCCTGCGGACAAACAGATAACGGCGATTGACTTCTTTAGTTCTGCGCAGACCATCAGGAATTATTAACGATGGATTACTTCTCCTTCTTAGGTAGTTGAGTGACCAATGTATCATGCATTGAAACTCTACTTCATTTTACGATTATCGTATTATTCGTTATATGAGTATTATATACATTCATATCCACCATCTTTTCTAGTGCAGCA